CACACAGAGCCATTGCCGACACTGATTATCCATATTTCAAGCCACTGGTCTAAGGTTAATCACATACAGTGATATGTGCAATTGAAAAAAAGTGATAATACTCTTGCTACACATATTAAACTGACTTTTACTGTCATGTCTTTATCACCTCGTTATCTGCACTCTGACATGAAGCCCGCAGCCACTGTGCAAACAAATTACCTTCTGTGGCTGCTCTGGATCATTTCAATGATATTGCGAAAGAGCTACACTACAGTAGAATAATATTTAACCATTTCTTGTACACTGTCCTATGTTAGTTTGGTGTTCAGGAGGAAAATATGATTGTGATATTGCTGGCACAAGTGCTACAGTGAAAATAGTGCATTGTGTAACCACTGTAATTCTTCAAATCTGTCAACATAGGAGTGATTGTGAGTGTGTGCAGTTGTTTGTCTACATGTCAGCACTGTGATCGACTGGTGACCTGCCCATCACAGGGTGTACCACACCTCTCGCCCAATTTCAGGTGGGATAGGCTCCAAATCAAAATCAAATAAAATCAAATTTATTTATATAGCACTTTAAAAACAACATCCAGCTGACCAAAGTACTTTACATGGCAGAATAAAATCACAATAAATGACTAAAATAGAGTAAATAAGTTCAGTGCAAATAAAAATAAAACAGCACAATAACACAGACACACAGTTAACATACGTTCAATAAATTAAAAATTAAAAGGAAATTAGAAGGAATGCACCAGGTCCTACTGTGTATTAAAAGCCAAGCCAAATAAATATGTTTTAAGCAATGATTTAAAAGTACTGAGGTCAGTAGCTGACCTAACATTAAAAGGTAGACTATTCCACAATTTAGGAGCTGCAACAGTAAAAGCACGGCCACCCCAGCGTTTATATCTGGCCCTTGGAACCTCTAAAAGAAACTGGCTTGAAGATCTGAGGGATCTTGTAGGTTTATGCCAATGCTCTAATTCAGTGAGGAAAATGGAGCTAATCCATTAAGAGCCTTAAAAACAAAAATCAATTACTTAAAATCAATTCTAAAATAGACTGGAAGCCAGTGGAGAGAAGCCGGTACCAGGGTTATATGCTCGAATTTCCTAGTACTCGTCAAAAGACGAGCAGCAGCATTTTGCACGATTTGGGGATGAGCGAGGGAGGACTGGTTGACACCATAGTATAGAGCATTGCAACAATCACGTCTAGAAGTGATAAAAGCATGGATTGCAATCTCAAAATCATTAAAAGAAAGGAATGACTTGACCTTGCATAACAGCCTCAGGTGGAAGAAGCTAGATTTCACAACTGCTTGTCAAACCTCAAGTCGCCATCAAACATCACCCCTAGATTTTTTTACAGTCGACTTCAGATGTCGAGCAAGGGGGCCCAGGCCCAGGTTAGAAGCAGTTAAGTTTGCCAGGTCACCAAATAGCAAAGGCTCCAGCCCCCCATGACCCTATTCAGGATAAAGGTATAGATAATGGATGGATGATGTACATTGCTTGAAACACTGTCATATTGTGAATAAATGGCAGCATTTCCTTGAAAGCATGTATGTTTAATTGATAGATTCAGTACTGAGTACAATGTAATGGGTGCAATTAAAAATGTGATATTAAAATTATTTTGAAAAGCTATGAAACATGAAAAAAAGTCTGAGTTAAATGCATCTTTAACCAGCATCTAAAGGAACTGTGAACCCACAAAATATAGAGTATTACATTCTGCATGTTCTGTATTGAGGTTTGCTTTAGTATTTATGGAAATAAATCTTTGAAATCATAGTATCATGTGGCTGATGGAGCAACTTTGAAACTTCATACACCACAGAATTTGTATTGGCATGGATGTCACACTTTCAAGCATAAACAGAAGTAAAAATAATTTAACATAATTAATTTAACAAATACTGTGTGCTGGTACAAGATGATGAACATTTCTAATGCAAAGCTACAACTTCTTCACCATAATTTCAATATTATTAGAACAGATAGCAACATGGAAAAGCTCCATTACGGTAATAAAGTTGAGCTATATTAAGACATGGAAAATTAATGAAAGAAAGCGTATTCTCACTATATGCATTTTGTTTATGCATTACTTATGACTTGTTTGTGAGGTAAAATCATGTGATTGTGAAATATGCTTATATACAGACATGCATCAAGCTCACCTTTGAAAGCATGAGGCATTTTGGTCTTGTGTGATTAAACCTGTCAGGCCCGCTCGGCGCGACCTGCCTCTCTTCTGCCTTTCTCTCTCCTGCTCGCTCTTTTTGCGGGATCAGCGCCTCAGCTGTGTCGCATGTTGTAATCAGTGACTTGTGGGTTGTCACGCACATATGTTGACTCTGTTACCCTGTTTGTGTTGTTTTTTTCATTAAACCTCCCTTTTTTTTTTTACTAGCACTTGAGTCTGCACTCGAGTCCTACCTCAGTTCTCCCTCACCCTCCTGGTGAGGGGGACTAAATCATAACAGAATGCTCCGGCCAACAATGGACTCAGGTGCTAGCCTTCCTTCATCTTCATTCACCAGCCACAGACTGAATCAGCCCCGGTCACATTGTTCAGAAACCTACCTTAGCCCAACAGAAGCCCAGGACATTTACCAGCAGTTGAAAAACCAAAGCCGGGCACACCCTTAGAGATAGGGTGAGGCGCTCGGTCACCCGGGAGGAGCTCAGAGTAGAACTGCTGCTCCTCCACATCGAAAGGAGCCAGCTGAGGTGGCTCGGGCATCTGTTTCAGATGCCTCCTGGGCGCCTTCCTAGGGAGGTGATCTGGGCATGTCCCACCGGGAGGAGGCCCCGGGGAAGACCCAGGACACGCTGGAGGGACTATGTCTCTCGAGGG